CCACCCCCCTCTCCCTTTTTGACTAATTGACTCTTGATTTTCTTTTTCTTTACTATGTAGCAACTCATCACATTAAGTTAAGGCCAATGCAATTTGTTCTCTTTGCTGAACGTGGGTTCCATTCCACTTTTTTGAGACAACTTTTGCTCTCACGTTCAGCTAATCATCATCAATTATCTCCAATTAAACTAATAGTCTTCCGGATACTTACTTTTTTCAGGTGGAAGTAATGGAGTTTTCTAATTTAATTAGAAAAGCTTGATCATGAATTAAGCCCGTTTGGATGGATCGAGTTAAAAAAAATTATGCATTATTTTTTTAAATAATTTTCTTTGTCAAAAGCCGGAGTTATTTAACTAATAAAAATTGGTATTTTAACTTTTTTCAAAAGTAAAAAATCTTGGCTTAAAAAGAATTATTTTCCCCCCTTGATTTTTATTCTCTCTTTTTTCTTCAAAATCTACATCTACACATAAAATAAAAACCACTTCTAATTTTGAAAAAAAAATCTTGGAAAAAAAACCCATCCAAATTAATCAGCTCTTAAGAATGTCGTATTAAATTTTGATTTCAGGTTTAGGGTCCTTAATCATTTTCTATTAAGTTTGATCCCTATTATATATATAATAAATATAAAATTAGAAGAATTATAACATAATTGGAGTTGGTATAGTGATAAGCCTTGCAAGCATCTAATCTCTTGTCCCGGGTTGATCCCCTTACACCAATAATCTTGTTGGGTTTTTCCTCCTTAATACTGCACAAGGTCCAATGTTGATGAGTGAGGCTCAAGAAACTTGGAGCTCAAGTAACTCAAGAACCCAAAAACCCTACTATTGATATTTTAGAATTTTCTCTCGACCCCTATATAATAAGCATGAGAGTGAATCCTCTAATGTGAAAAAATGGTCATGTGATCATATTATTTGATCACAACCACTCATTTAAAAATCATACATTTTTCTCTCTCTTATCACATCATCAATGAGTTCAATGAGTGGTTGTGATAAAATATCATGATTATTTTTTCACATGAGAGGATTCAAATCCATATTTAAGCATTAGTTGAGGGTTGGAGGAGAGGCTGGCTTGAGAGACGTTTGAGAGTACCTCTAAAGAGAAGCTTGAGTGTTAGACCTCCTTCACCATTGTAGGTGAGGTTTGAGTGTACCATCATTATTAGTAAAGTTTGATATCTTGTACCCATTATTTACATAGTGAAAGTTTGATTCTAGATTAGTGTCCGTAGGCTTTTACTTTTTCACATTACAGGTTTTTCCATTTTAAAATATGCTTGTGTTCATTTCTCTCTCTCCTCCATATTTTCAATTTATGCTGCGTGTGATTTAGGTCGACCTCTAATTGATTGTGCCGAGCACGATCTTTGACTTCCGCAAATGCTTCTTAGCCGAAATTGAGAGACCGAGTTCGTCTCAACAAATCTAACCCGGCTCAAGATCATTTCACTTATTTTTGATTCGGTTCAAGTGCAGCACCGATCTAGTATTCAGATCAGACTAGTTGGGGGATCTGGTTTTCAGGGAATGATCTCAAGTATGTTAATGTAGGGGTGTTCATAGTAATAATGGTAAGGACCAAAGCACTATAGAGGCTTCCCATGGTGTGCATAAAGAGGATGTGTGTATGGTAAAGATGACTCTGCAGAGGGGTAACAACATAGGTAGAGAGTAGAAGAGAGGATCTCCCTCCATGTGTGAGGGGGGTATTTAGAGAGGAGAGCCCTTTCCAGCATGGGGGATCCAACTGGTCAGTCCTATGAGCTGTCTCATCAAGCCATATCTTGTCCTGAGACAAGACATGTTGCACACTGTCAGTATACTGGGGCAGCAGTGCAGGAAAAGGGGAATGTCCCAGTGCTGAGTTTCTATGGCTTGCCATGAGTACTCTCTAAAGGTTCTATATGTGGGCTTTAAGATATTGGACCCAACTGGTAGGCCTAAGGGAGTATCCAGTATTATACATAATTTTCCATTAAATCAATTGTGGCATGAGGTTGTTTAATTTATTGTCCATATATAATTCCAGAAAAATATTTTTGTTGTTACTGCAGATAAGTTATCTGCATTTACTTCTAAAACGACGTCGTTTTGAGATTGAAATATTAAAAAATTATAATTATAAAGACTATAATAACCCTGAAATAAATTAAAATTATAAAAACACCATGATTTCTGCCCCAAAATGACATCGTATTGGGCTTACTGCAAATAACTTATCTGCAGTAACAGCAGAAAAAGCAAACCCATATAATTTTGTGTTCATCCGAGGTTTTAAAGGGGGTCCATTAATACTTAAACAACAGCCTTCAATGGCCTGCATTTAATCCATTTTCTTATACTTTTCTACCCGAGGCTATAACCATAGGAGATCTTTCTGCTATTTCTAATTCTGTTTTCTGGATCATAACTTTCAACATGCTTCATAAGCAAATTGAATTGGCTCAATTGAAAATTATGATTTAATATATAAAACTCATTTGCAAAGACACTTCAATGGTTGGAAATCTCAGATTTAAATCTCATTAGAAATAAGTGGTTTGAAGCATATGATTGATTATCTCCTTGATCTAGCTATTACATAATTAACCCATATTACTCTTCAGCTAATTTCTTGTGCTTCACTATGAGTTTCTGCGTATGGTCCACATAGTTCTATTATGAAAATAATGAACAAGATCACTCCCACAGCACATTGATATCTTCTTTCTTCTCTTGTTTCCTTTACACAAGGCATCACCTATTATAATGTATGTAGAAGTCTGAGACCAAATTTTATTTTTGCTATATTTAAATAGGGAGTTACTAATCTTATGTCACATGAGATAGTTATCTCATGTGGGTGAAACAAAGTTGTGGGGCCCATAATTTAAAAAAAATAAAAAAATAAAAGAAGAAATGGGCACAAAATTTCATGAATATACAATATAAGATAGTTATTTTATGTGACATAAGACAACTATTTTCCATTTAAATAACTTATAAGGAAATCACCAATAGTATTTGAGTGGCATGCAAGGAAATTAATCATAACATAGTTTAACGAGGTAAACTTAAAAGTACATTTTAGCAGCTCAGTTATGATCACAATAATAGTACTTTGCAAGACCCAATCGATTCGGTATAGTACGGTTCTCTGTTTCTTTCTGTTAATCATTACAATTTTTTTATTATATGATCATCACCGTATAGTAGTGTCAATACTCCCCAATCAAATTTATTCAGCTTAATGACTCTACCAAATCAAAGCAATGCTTTCAAAGTATGGTCGAGCAAGTTTACTGGGCAATGCTATATAGAATTATAGGCTCTCTATTTGATGTTACTATAGAATGGATAAATAAAACTAGTGATGTAACTAATGCATTCAATCCAGGAGACACTTTGTCTACTTGTATGAATACAAAATCATTAGTGTATTGATACTACAATTAGGTTAGCATAGTAATATTAGGTAAAACTACCTGCAAGTGGGGTCCATTAGATACTTACCCTAGGGTTGTGCTTGCCTTCAAACTATAATAATAGCATCCAAGTCCTCTCTAACCCCTGCCTTGCAAAAACAAAAATTCAGAAAGATGTCTCATCAATGCGCCCAAGGGAACATTGCACTTGGATCTAAACATGTTGAAAATGGGGCAACTTGGATCACTTTTGACTTGAGTTCCTCGTTTCCCTCGCAACATATAAAAGAAAAAAACCTTGAAGACTTGTGGACTAATATGCTATGATTAATGCTCATGCATGATCTCTTTTGTGGTCCCTTAGTGTTTTTTTTTTTTAGGTTAGAAAAAAGAACAAATTATCAGATATAGTAGAAGAGTGTCTAGAATTTTTTATTTTTTATTTTATTTTCTTACCCTAAATTGGAGACCGGAGTCTAGTGTCTAAAAATTTTTGTTCATGTTATTTTTTTTAGAGGATAGGCTATAAATTACTATTATTTTTTTTACTACTTTTTATTATCAATTTTGTTATCACTAGATCAAAATCAAATCAATGGGTCTTACTTGATGATATTTTGTAACTGTTAATTTGATTTTGATCTAACGATAATAAAATTGTTAGTAAGAAGTGATGAAAAAGAATGGTATTAAATATAACCTCTCTCATTTATTTATCTAAAAAGATTAATATTTCTCATGTTATAAGAAATAATTTTATCTCCTACACATATATAAAAGTGTGTGGACTCCATGTGGGATCATGTGAAGAGAAGATGAAAATAAAATATGGACTTATATACTTTTATATGTGTAAGAGAAAAAATTATCTTTTACAATATAAGAAACACTAATCTCAAAAATAAAATATAAAAACTCATAAACGGGAATGAAACTACTATTCACAAAAGTAGCACAAGGACAGCTGAGACCAGTATGTGCTTGTCTTCTAACAAATGCAGATTAACCTTGATATGTGGATTCCCGTTATTAATAAAACAAAAAGTTCAAGTACGTGTAAACATTTGTCATCTATAAGGTTCAATTGAGCGTGTGGTTTTGTTAGGAAAAAAGATCTCCCATTAAGCGAGGAGGGAGAAGGAGGGAGACAAAGGACAACTAATAATTCAAAGGTACGCATCATTATTGAAGTTTGACAAGCAAAGAATGCATAATAATTCATGACAACCCCTATTTTGTAGGCTTCCTTTTTTTCCCATTATTGTTTAAGAGTGTCTTTGTTTTATAGTAGTTGAGATTAAAAACCACATTATTATTTTCTACCCTGGAAGTTAACCACTGCTAATTTGAGTAAAAACAGTAACACATAGAGAAAGAGCTAGAGAGACTAAGCTAGTCTGCAAAAAATTAATTTCTTTTGGATTGAATCCACAAACAGAAAACCTAATGCTTAGTTTAGGCTTATCAGTTATGGCCAGTTTTTTCTTCATGACACTCTCATTATATACAACACTAGGCAAAGAGCATATCCCCTAAACACCCTTCAAGAAAACAAAGGCTAGCTTTATTGGTAACCTATTCAATTCCTCATCATCCTGAGTGCCAATTCTTGCAGCTCACCCAAGTCATTATTACCATATGATCTTCTCTTAGAACAAGCTTGGAATGAGAAATTATCCTCTCTGCTTTGTATATCTTGCATGCCAATTCCATCATTGATGCTGCTATGATCAATTGACTCAAGTGAGCTCTGAGGAGATATAGGATTCATGTTATGAGATAAACAAAATGGATTCATTGATTGTCCAGCTACATTCCCTGGCCACTGATTCTCTATGTTTCTTGTCTCCATCAGGTTCTGTGCCAGCTGAGCCTTCATTTGCATCACTTGTGTCTGCAAGCACGCCACCTCCATTTAAACAAAAAAAGAAAAATTGTAAGAGAATTAATTAACATGACTAGAAAATTTGTTTGTTTATTAATAAAATGACCGGTGCATATTTATATATAGTAAATGGCAATAAATAATTTTCTTGGACTGACCCTTGAAGCATCAAAGAAGCCAAACGTACGTAGCTAGAGATCAAAGCAAGAGAAAAAGACAGGAGTAGTGTGGTTGAATAATGACCTCATTGATTTTCCTAATTTCCAATATATATTAAAAAAAAATAAAGGGGTGATGATAAAAAAATAAAAAATAAAAAAATTCAAAGTTCTGAAGAGAATTTGATGAATGTATATGGATGAAGTTTAGAACTTTTGATGAGCTTTATAATTATATGTTGTGGTACCTGTTGTTGTAAGGCAAAAATGTGGGAGACACAGCCATAAACAGGGTCTCTGATACGAGCTTGTGCCTCATAAGCAATTGTGACAACCGCTTCACAACGATCATGAGCTGGTATATGCAAAAGCAATTTGGAAACGTTGCTGGCACCAAACACCTTATGGATTGCTGCAAATCTTGCAGGGCCTTGTTCTGAGCAAAAGTAAGGTGCAAAGATGCAATCAGCTGCACATTTTCTGCGGAGGAACTTGCATGCCCCACAAGGTGAGCCAGAGCCAGAGCCAGAAGCCATAGAGAGATCAGAGAGAGAGAGAGAGAGAGAGATAAAAGTGTGTGTTGTATTTTATGTGTGTGAAAAGAAAGGAAGAAGGTGGGAGAATGAGAAGAAGTGAATAAAATTTGTAGGCACACGGGCACACTAGGAAATGGTGCAAACTAAAATCTGAGGACTATTGTATGGGGGAGGGAGGAGATGGAAATGGTTAGGAGAAGTGGGACAGTGGGAATAAGGGGCATAAAGGGTCTTATAAGAAATGTGAATGGGGAACATTGGAGGGTCATGTGTTGGGTTCAAAGGGGACATTTCTTAATGGTAGATGCAATACGGGACTGGTTTTTCTATTGGGGTTAGACCAAGTTAATGTAATTTGGACTGTTTGTTATTCATGGCTTTTTCTTTTATTTATTTAGTTTTGGTTTCACTTAGAAGCTAATTTAGTATTTGTTTTGTTAGTGCATGCCTGTAATTGAATGGTGTTGAGTGGTTGGTTTGGTTTTAGTTTAGATTTATTTATTTATTGGATTAATTAATTAGTTTTTTTCTTTTTTTTTCCGCCGAACGCCGCACCTGGGAACTGCTGCTGTTTGTCGCTTCCTAACGGAGTTAGTACAATGCCACCTGCCGGTGAACCCTTCGGACAAACTTTTTTTTTATTTTGAGCTCATTGGATAGTTTATAGTTTTGTTTAACTTAAATTTAAATTTTTTATTCTTAATTTTTTATTTGAACATTATCATATTATTTTATTATGTATTGATGAATTGGTAAAAGACTGAAAAAATAGTGAGAATTTCGAATAATTAAAAAATTGTGATGGTATTATAACAAAAATACAAGTATGATTCTCCAGATGGAGCAGAACTGTTATGTTTTCTTATTATTTGGAAAAGCGATCTACAGAAGCTCAAAACAAATTAAAGGTGAAGCTTCCAGTCTACAAAAGTTATACTACTAAGAACACGGAAGCTTTTTCATAGTAACAGTATGTCCATAAGTACACAAAATGACTATATATAATTTAAGGGTCGCTTTTTGCTGCAAGAAAACAAAATTATGTAATAGACACAAAAAAAGAGAACCCATATTGATTTTTATTTTAAATGTTAGGATCGGATGTCATATTCTGATAAATATATATCTGATGCGGAAGAACTCTTTTTACAGCAACATGAAAAGTATAATTGCCATAATTTAATTCATAAAAGATATTACTTATATGATTTTAGTTCAAAGTTTCTGCGCACACAAATTAACTCTCAAAATTATCAATATCAATCATCTTAATTGTTAACTTGCTATCAAACTCATTCCTTACAAATTAATATTTTATATATGAAGACTTTAAGGGATTAAACAACATAAATAACATAATTAAAGCACAAAATGATATTTTTATTCTATGCATAATTGACTGCCATAGGATTTGTCATATCTTTTTCTTTGGCCTAAAGAAAAAAATCCTAAATGCCTGGGTGTTTTTCATAATTTCATTCCCCAAATGCACTTCCTTTTTCTTGTATTACGGCTTCACCAAGAGCAAGATTCTCCCATTTGTATGACCATCGGATTGTGATTGAAATAGATACTACCAATCATTTTATTTAAATATTTTCCGACCTATAAAAGAATATAATTGAAGGATTAATTCAAGTAGTACATATTTAATTCCACTTAAATAAGATCTTGTATTCAAGTCTTTGTGAATGCAAAAAAAATTCTTTGAAAAATTTAACCCTACCATAATTTAAATATTCCCGTAATATAAATATTCCCGACTCGAATAGAATTAACTTCTATGAAGGATACTTATGATTAAAAACAAAACCAAAAAACAAACAAACTAGCCATCATATCACTTGTCACCCTCGTCAAAGTTCTAGTTTTCCTTCCTAATTTGTCACCCGTGGTGTGAAATTCAAATCTTGCAATTTTGTTTATTCGAGCAGAAGGATGCTCTTAAGGTCGTTATCAAAATCTAAAATCAAATCTGCATTTTTGGGAAATCACTTTGAAAAATGACCTAGTACATAACTTACACCACCTTGATTGAGTCACGCTCAAGTGACAGGTATCGAAATGGTTTAATATTTTATATAAAAATTCTTTCAACTTTCATACCATTATGAATTTGCAAAGTCAAAATACTTCGATCAGATTCAGATGAAAAGCCGTCACATAACACCAAAACAAGCAATAAATTAGCTTGTAACTGAATAAATGACACTTACTCTTACATTCGTCACACTAAGGACCAGCTGTATTTTGTGGAGCACCAGCTGTATTGTGTGGGTAGCAAGTAGCAAGTAGAAAGTGATGCAAGATGAGCCACTAGAGAGTAAAACACACTATATACAGGTGCTTCATACATCATAACAAGTAGAAAACAAAAAATTGAAACATGAAAGCAGTTCGTCATACTTGACAATGAGAAATGGCTGTTTTATCAAAGAATATAGAGTCCCGTGTCACGGGTCTTTACTAAGAGCCGCCTTAGTTTAAGTTCTCACCACCATAATAGAGCTCAGAGAAGCTCTATTGATAAGCATGAAGTAACATGCAAAATTTTTATATCCACTCAACCATGACATAATCAAAATTTATTGATGCATCAATTAACAGCATCACCTTTTCACATGACCCACATGCAAAACACGTAATATCTTTTGCAACAAAAGAAGTTCCATGACATCCACAGCCCCAAAACCAGGGAAGCTTTTATTTATTCACTATTTTATTTTTGGCCTTACCACCAGTCTAGCTAAATGCAAATTTTTCTGCACTCAGGGTTCTTTTTTCTGAATATTGTTAAAGAAAACAAAAATTAAGATCACTATATTTACCTCAGACAAATAACCCAAGAACGTCATCTTCTGGGTACCCTCCCCTTCACTCAGGATGGAAAGCAGCTCTTCTGCTATTTATGCATACTTATCAGAAAAATGACTTGAGTAAGTTAAGATAAGTACACCTTAACTTATTTCTGTTTTCAGAAGATAAAAGATAAAAGCACCTATACTGGTGCAAGGGAAGAGCTCAATAATAAGAAGTATGATAATAAAATAGTGGTTCTATACACATAACTAGATCACAAATTGCATGAAAGATTACCACTATAAGTGACTAGTTTCAACTAGATCCCTGCACTTACAAACACACCCAAACAAAAAAAAGGTTGAAAGATCTCGAGTCAACTCAAAATGAGACCTTACCAAGACAATTCTAGAGAATCCCAGATGCACAATGTACAGGTCCCGGTCAAAAACTGCTTAGCGCAGATAATACCCAAAACAGCAGACTTCCAGTTCACTTCCAATCCTCATCTCTTGTGATGGAACCTCACCTTCAACAAGAATTGCATTTTAATCTGCACAAACAGTCCACATGCATATATGTTCAACAAAAAAAAAAAAAGGGAAATACCATATATCACACATTAACTCCAACAACCCCAGAAATATTTAAAAAGAGCATTGTGCAAGTATGTCATGAATCAATTTAAACCATATACATCCTAGCTTCCTTCATAAACATTGGCATGATAAGGCAAAAATACAACAACGAAGCCAGAAACTTACTTGAGCAGTATCATAAACAATATACTCATTGTACATGAGCTCAGAAGTCTTGACATTTGATGGCACTGGTTTGCCACAAGGAACAGTGACATCACCCCTCCACTTTACGTATTCTGATTCATGAGGCACTTTCTTGCCCAGTCCTTTAGTAGAGTGCTTTCCTTGAGGAGGTTTATCCATATACTAATTGGCAGACAACAAACAAAAAATTATTGCAAATCCATTTGACAGAAATTTAGTGTTGAATACAATATTATTGCTCATTTAGAACGCGTTTGAAATTATAAACAATCAATCATATGACCATATAAACGGATATGCATAACTTGAATTAAACCAAACTGACCTTGGCTTTCTTGAGCTCATAGACATTTCCAAGGGCAACTTCACTCAAAAGCATTAGACCAACAGGGTTTTTCTTCTCAGTGTAGCAATACTGAGCACTCTTGCTGACCAGGTCAGCAAAGTAAATACCTTTGCCAAACTGCATTGCAAATTATTCAGATTTTAGTACTGCTGTAGAAAGGTAATTAGGTATGACATGCACGAAAATATAAACATAAAAAGAGGTATGAAAGGGGAGTAATAGATAGAACCATATAGCCAGTAGCTGGGGCTTCAGGAGGTGCGATTCTGAGTCCTTGGCTAAGAATACCCACAAAATTTGTCAACCTAGAACCTACAATAAAGAACATTTTTGTTATAGGTGTTAACACAAATTTGTTCATATTTTCATTTACAGCTGCAGTATGTGCATCACCACAAAATAGTCATCCATGTGAACGTAATTCACCAAGAAAGTGATGTATTTTGTTAGAGAGATGAAAGAATTTTAACCTAGAAGTTTCAGCCTTTACAATTCCCCTGGTCTAGTATTGGCATTTCCCAAGGAGTAATCAGATACATGAGAAGAATTCCATGAGGGACATTTAGATATTGGGAGTTTTTTTAGGTTTTTGATCTCGTAAAGAAACCCGTTTATAGGAGCAAACATGCAAACAACATGAATCTTCCTGAAAGGAGGATATTTCACAACAGCAAACATGCAATTCTAGAAGCTAGCATCACAACCTACCATGCCATAGGAGCATTCTGTTACCAAGTTTCTCCCTGTAATGAACAAATTTATCAAATTCTCCTTCCCTTTCAAGGGAAAAAACTTCTTCTAGCTCAAGACTCCAATCCTGCATAGATTAATTACAAAGATTGTGGGAACTTGTACATGGTGACAAATGAAAGAGCACACACCAGAGACATAAATACAGAAACACATACTCGTATTCCAAATAAAGACATACCATATGTGTGGGGGCATGAGTAGTATGGAGAAACTTCTCAATTAAACGATAATCTTCACTATCATGAGGAAGTGGAGATATATCACAGTGGAGCTTCTTATAATTATCATCAATGGAGTCATCACTATTAGCATCAAACCCAACTAATCTTGAGGCTATTTCAATGTCTTGAAGGGCTTCTAACATTTTAACCTACAACAAAAGCAAGGGCATAATGGCATATTATTCAAATTATAATTAAGAGACTCAAATGCACCAATCCACAGTGGCGAAAGTCATCTACCAGCCCTCTGATAGAATTAGATAATTTATGTATCTTTCGTATCTTTGACATTCCTTGAACAATGTTGAAACAATGGACAGACCAAAAAGTTTCACAAGTCTTGCAATACTATTTGAATGGTCCTAACCTTTAGAGATTAAACCCACTGTCAAGTTGCAAGAAAACTTAAGAAATCATGTGATGGTCCAGTATAAATTCTTCGTTACACTATTCAAATATAAATAATAAAATAATTTCAATATTTGAGTTTTACACTTCAACTGCCAAAAATCATTGACTTCCTCAAGTCATAGCTGCAAGTAGAAACCAGCCGCAAAAACAAAGCATCAATCTAATTTCATGTTTCATAACCAAGCCAACACCTGAAAAATGAATACAATTCACCTTTGATTTAAAATCATTCTCATCCCTAATAATATGTGGATGAATAGAAGGGATCACTGTGAAGAACCGATTGCTGGCATCAATAAGCAAGCTTTCCCTGACTGATGGATCAGGGTCATTAAATTTTAACAGATTCTGTATATCTGTTAACGCTTCAAACCCTGGGAATAGCAATCAGAACAACATAAAATCAAACATTCATCACTTTGATACACACCATGGGCTTGCTTGGTGCTGCAAATTATACGAAATAGGAAACTACCATAGCTCATAAAAAAGTTTTCAAAATAATAATGTTTGAACATACCCTTTTGGATATTACTTTTGCTCAGTTTCCCAAGTGGCATTTCAGACATATTAATCTCAAATTCCATCATGGCAGCTCTACAAAACTCAAGATTCAGTATACATCAGACATATGCCAATAAAACGAAAAGGTATTAGACTATAACCTGTATGTTTCCACATTGAAGAGAATCTTCATCAATTCTATTAATGGAGGGGGTAGTTTGCTGTCTGCATTGTTTTTATTTTTCTTTGAGACCTGTTTGTTAACTCCATAATCCTACAAAGTTAAGTGTTAAAAACAACAATGAGTTGATTATCCCACCTGATGGGTGAAGATGATTTATGTCAAACAAATAATATAATAATAAGATTAAAAAACAGTACAATATCCAATGGGAAGAATCTTCCAGGTTGCTTCTGAATAGTCTTTTGTTCCCATGCCTCCCAAGGGTTTCCAGTCTTCTCTAAGAATAATCGTTTGAATTCACAGATTGCATCAGATTTCGGCATTTCTTCCAGTTTGTCTCCTCCAATCTTGTCATTTCCCACTCGACCCCATTTACGAAACACAAAGCAACCTGACCCCTTATCTTCTTGGATTATTTGGAGAATATAGTAGCTTTACAGAGGAAGCAAAAGTTAGATGATCATGATGATGGAGACAGTCACAGTTTTTTTTTTTTTTTTTTTTTTTTTTTTGGGGGGGGGGGGGGGGGGGGGGGGTTAAGTTGTACACGAAAAAACAGCATGACAACAATCTTGAAAAGGGAAGTGATGCACTAGAATTCAAGTGGGCTTAAAGCCCAAGTGCTCCCATAAAGCACCACCATAGTAACTTGCCGCAGTTACGGCATAATTACTGCCCTCATTTTATCATCATAAAACAATATTTAAGAATTCACTGACTAAGTAAATAAAGACAAAACCCAATCAAAATAAAAGGCCTTCAGTGTATACTAATTAAAGGTTCTGAGTCAAACGAACATTTATTTTCTAGGTTAATCCTCAAAAAACACAAGCTTACTTTTGAAAATCAATAATATGCATTTTTTGGTGGGGCACAAAACCAATAGTGATAAATATTTCAAACCCAAAGTGTGTGAAACACAAATTTATCAGCCAACGGAAAACAACTGAGCACAAGATTTATTTTCAGTAAGGACTCTAGGACAAACAAAGGCCCCATTAAACTATGTTGTGCCTTTTCAAAAGCTACTGTGATGAAGGTACTGTGAAAAAGCTGCTATGGAAACTTATTCAGAAAAGTGTGTTCCAAAAGTATTTAAAGTTACAAAAACAGATATATAGATTAAGAGATACAGGTTTAAATTTTGAGATGCGAAAATTGGGGATCAAGGTTAAGATTTTTTAAGGCATGCCCTATTTTCTACAACCGCTTTGAAAAGCTTACCCAAAGGCGCTTCTCAAAAGAACTTGTGGCTTTAAAAAGCACTATAAAAAAACTTTCATGAAACACACATTTGCAACTTTTCCCGTCAAAAAGAACCAGAGCCAAATGCCACTTCATTCCCAAAAATGACACACAATATAAACATAACTTTGCAGAAAACTAAAATGAAATTCATGACACAATGTTAACTTATTAGTGGATAATATAACTCCTCAGTGAAAAATTGCCAGATTTATAATTCTATTTTAGTTTTATTGAGAAATCTTAAGGAATGAGGATTTGATTAGTAGATTCTGGGAGTGTTCAAAACAACATGTGAAACATAATATCAAAGTTTCAATTAATGTTCTGATAAGAACCTTCGGATACACCACCCCAAAAGCTAGCTCAAAGGGTGAGTGCCCAAGGCCTTATAAACCCCACATTAGTTGCTCATACAACCAATGTGGGACTCCAAGTCTCATACCTTGCAAATGGGTCCTAACATGTTCCAACTGGAGAGCTCAGTCAACTTATGGGAATATAGACATATCAGCTCTTGACAGTTGACAGCTTGCTGTTTTCTATGCAACATTGCATAGCATAACAAAATCTAGAAGCATACCTTTTGGTTCTTTGTTCATCAATGACATAGAAACCAAACTGCTATTTTCTGCTTAGCCAACTAAACAAAATTTATGCTGAAGGCTGAACAAGAATGCTAAAGATACAATGAACCCACCTGTTAACACCAGTAGACAAATCAGACATATTCAAAGTTGTATTATATATGTTTTTCCCTTCCTCGAGTATGTGGCCAGAATCCTGGAGGCCAGAGGCCTCATGAACAGCACTGTGCCCCTTCACTTTGATGGTGACCATGCTAGAAGCCTCACCAATCATTTCAACTTTGTACATATCAAATGGAAGCTTCTTCTTTCTTTCTATACAGTCAACCAAATAGTCCTCTCTGACTATTGGTATTTTCATCCTCCTAGAGTTGAAACGCTTCCAAGTCAGTGATATTAGAATTAATCAAAGAAAAAGCAATACTCAAATCTGGCAATTTGAGTGCACCCATACCTTGCCTTCCGCATCTCAGCTTCATCATTGAGTGTTCCACTGACTACCAAGCAGTTGGTATCTGCAAGTAAACAGGTCAAATAGAAGATTACAAAAATCATACACATGAAGAGGCAAAAATATATTTATCCCTTTTTTTTTTGAATTTTCAAAAAACAAAATTCGTCTGAGCAGCAATACCTTTCTTCACTTTTGCATGAAGCACCCCACCTACACCATCAATTTTGCGTTTCCATTCCTCCTGTACAATCAACTTGTAGAAGATGAATGCGGAATACTAGAACACTAAATTAAACATGACTTTTATCAGAATGGTTTTGGGGGAGGGGGAACTTCAATTATGGATGTCAAAATGCAGATGTGAAAGGAAAAATGGAAGGAAGTTATACAATTGAGTCTTTAGGTAATCCACAGATAGAAACTTTCAAATCTCCCAAACTTTCACCGTATGCAGATTGATGCTGGCGAGCAGTAATTTGACGTTCAGCAGAATTCCTTGATGATGGCAGAGGCAATATCCTAACTGGTTTCTTCCCTTTTTGAGATTTGAACCACTGTAAACAGTATGCAAAATCTTAAGTCAGAATTTGTTGGTTTTGTTTGATGAATTTTTTTTTTCTTACACACCTTTTTAAGGTACTGATTATTTGTTTCCTCTGGAATTTTCCACTTCCCTTCAAGACGTTTTGGTTCGCAGGTAGAGTAGGAACATCTACTCCACTCAGAAACGAATCCATTGCACCGGTACATTCCTCCAGAATAATGCAGAAAACCAGAACATATTGGGCAATGACCAAGTGTTCCAAACATCATTCCATCAGCACTAAAATCACAATAATAATGATCACGGTGAAATAAATCATATCTTGCAGGATAATATTTCCAAAATACATCACAGAGCACAATACAACGAATTTGGAAAATCTGTCTCCAGTCCAGACAACCATATATGTGCTAGACTTGCTAGCATTTAATTTTTTTTCTTTTGATGAATAAATTCTGATTTATCCGTTACAAATTATAATAGAGCTCAATACACGTGATCATACATATTAGTGGACACCAAGCAAACAAATAATCATAATTTATTGTCAGTAAAATCATTGGCAACTTATAATTTAGAAGAAAGGGACAATAACATGTTGAATGAAAACTTTTTAGAAGGCACAGGCAGGGATAACGCAAAAGCTTCTTAAAGATCTGTGCAGAAAGTGCATGAGAGATTAAATTACCAGCGATCACGCAAACCAAGTTCTGGTCCTGTTGAATCTTGAGCATTGGCTTCCAGCATTTCGCGCAGCTCTGCTGTTGTCACATGATTTTTAAGATCATCTTTCAGACCCCAGAGTTCTTTGCTCTGGGCCTCCAGTTTATTCTCCAGATCACATGCTTCCTCTGAGCCATTAGCATTTTTCACTGATGCTGCCCTGCCTGCAGACACATCTCCTTTGGCCTTAGCAACTTTTGACTTCTGCTCACCATTGGCATCCTTTCCCCGTTTTGTGCCACCTTTGGAAGTGGATTGTTGCGCGGATTTTTTAACCTCTTCATCCTCAACGTTTGTACCACTACCACCTGAAAGGAAAACAGTGAGAAAATAAATACAAATATAACAAAAAGCGATGCAATTACTATTCACTACGGCATAAAAACCAGCCTTTCTTAAACATATCGATCACCGTACCTCCCTTATTCATAGGAGGACCCTTCTTAGCCAAGTCACTGACAGCTGATTGATCAGCAGATGAGAGATTATTCCATCCAGACAACTTATCCACTTGAATTAATGGTGATAGTTCCATGAGACACTTGGCATGGTGCCAAGCTAAACCTTTAGCACCTTGACCATCAGGCTTAGTAGAAATGCGAACCTAAAAATCAAATAAATAACAGTCAGCAAGGAGAGATATTCAAAAACCAATAACGCATAAGCATGGACCAATATGGTCATGAATGATTAGGGAACATTCTGAATTCTAATATGCATCTGAACAAAATACACCTTCCTGGTCTCTGACTGACTGCATAGCATTCAATTTTAACAATCTCAACAATGCACACATGAAATCTAACAAGCATGAAGAAACTTGTTGCTAATATCATTTTGCTGCTTTCATGAAATCCCAAAATGAAATGTGACATTAGTGGTTAATTTGAACATTACCAGATTCATTTTGAATTTTTTTAACCTTTTAAGGTGTTTCTAATAAAAGGAGAGGGAAAAAAATCGACTAGATGCAAGATTCCAAGTTCAACCTGAAAGCAGTAGCAGGAATTCAGTAGAGGCTTAGATCCCCGATTAGTACCTCCAATCAAAGGCCCCACCTACCTAATTAGTAAAGACAAAATGTGTACAAGACGCCTGAAGGCCTTTATTTTTTAGCCAGTATAAACTTGAAGAGGAAAGGTTATAAACTTAAGAGGTAGCTTCAACATGAACCAAAAGAGTTAAGGAACAAAATTCATTTCTGGAAAGTGGAAGAGCTAAGGAGGATTAGATTTACATGTCCATGACGCCACCCACAAAACTTAACTTGCGATAGGGTTGTGTTCTTCCACATGCTACCAAAATTTCTATACACAAAAAAATTTCCAGAAATTTATTAACTCTGCTGTTCTTTTACAAAGTTTTTTTCACTTGAAAGGTGGGATTTTGGCCATATAACATGAATCTCAAGATGGAAAATGCAATGAGATGGCATAACAATTCTGGTACCATGCACCAAGGGTTTTTACAAGATTTAACACACAAAGGAAAAGTAACACTAACTAGGTAAAAGACATTGGAAGCAAACATTTTAGCTGCCAAAGCAATATTTGTGGATATCAAACATGAACCGCTAGATGTTGGAAGTAAAATATAAACTATGCATCCTAATAGTTTTATCCCTTGAAATCAGCAACATCATCAGGGAATTACTAAATACCAAAGATGTTATTTTCCACAAGTTAATTTATGATAAACAAGATAAATTAAAATAAAAAATAATCAAATTTCCCATCTTAGATAATATTAGCATGTGTTTTTTGCTTATGATCTCATTTCCACTCCGCAAAATCGATTAGGTCCAATTAAGATACACGCTCTAAGAAGTTAGTTAGTCTTTTGAAATACTATGACATAGAAACTAACATTAAAAACCAACCTCTCCTTTAATAATTTTTTGACCACAATGCCTGCAAGTAGCACGAGAAGTTTGTGAAACTTCAATACCATATTCAGTATCTTTGATGGCATTTGACTTCGGTGGGCCACCACTCTCTATGTATTTTCTGATCTTCTGCTGATCTTCCCAACGAAGCAACTCTAAGTTTTCAACATCGTCAATTCTAGAACAACATTAAAACATGAAAATAAACCCTTGCTAATGTTGATGTCAAATCATGAAACAAACACATATTTAATGAAATAAGTAGAAAACTTCTTACGATTTTATCTGGTTGGCTTTCTTCAATATGCAATCAGCATGATTCCACATCTGACATGGAAAATGCAGATTAAAACACTAAAGACATGCAGTATAATTTTTATTTTTCCTAAAATGTACATATGATCAAACTAGGGCAATATTCAACAAAAAAAGAAATGAAATACAGACATTTGTTGAAATAAAAACGACGGTTTTAGAGGTGAAGTCAACATTTGTTGAAGAAAGAAAAGAAAAGCATGTTGTTATTGTTGGATATATATTATTACCGGCATGAGGCCATCGAATTTGGTGGACTGAACCATCTTGCCGAGACGGAGATTCTCGCTGGCAATGGGGCTCTTGCAGGTCCTGCACGACGATCGCCCTGACTTCGCGTACTCCACTTTCCATGCTTTTTGATTTTGAGGGTTCGCCATTCTCTCACACTCACAGCAACACAGTGACACTCTTACCTCCTTCCTTTTCCTTTCTCCTTATTATATCCACATTACATATTATTATATTATATGCCTTTTGCTATGCTTTCTATAACGCCAGGACGCCACTCGTGCTCCAAGAATGTACCTTCCTTGCTTTTTTCTCTTAAATATAAAAAAAGGGAGGTTATCATTCTTTGGCCTCAAAATAAATTTTACGGAAAAAATATGTGTTATTTAAAAGGATAGTTTTTTAAGATAAAAATAGAGATATATCATGCCAGGGAGAAATTTTTTTTTTTTTTTTCTCTCATGATTTATAGTTATCTTTCTCTTTAAACACATCACTTCGTATCCTTTATACCGACACACATTTTTCTCATTTTACTGATAAACTCAAAATGTATTATATTTTAGAAAAAAATATTTGTTATTTTAAATGACATAAAGTTATATCATTTTAATAAAGAGATAGAGTGATAGACACAAAATAATATTTTTTATTTAAAATTTAAATTAAAAAAAAATCACTCACTTTCTTTCCCATGATTTTTATTCTTTGTATCTATTTCTCTCCTAAAATGACATAACTTATGACATTTAAAATGACAAACATTAAACCTTTTTATTTTATACTAGTATTAGGTTTTAAGGATTAATATTTCTATTGTAGATAAAATTATTTTCTACATAAATTTAAATGTGTGAACCATATTTTCTTTTCCTATTGTCTCTTCTAGGGGTGTAAATGGGCCAGGCTGGCCCAGCCCAGCCTACGGCCCGGCCTACGTTGAGCCCAGCCTAGGCCCGGCCTTTCAGAAAAGTAGAGTAGGCTTAGGCTTATAAAAAAGTTTTTTTAATAAATAGGCCATAGGCCAATTTTGTCAAGCCCGGCCTACAGCCTTGTAGGCTGGCCTATTTAATTTATTAAGATAATAAAATAATATTTATTTTATGTGACAAAGACACAAAGTACCAAATATCACTATCTCTTACTTTTTGTGCTATTTTATTTTATGAAAGGAAAACTTGTCTAATGTCTCCAAATTTTACATGTTGTTGCAGCTTAATACCATGGAGCAATGGGTACCTTGCTGGATTATGATGTTACTGATGAAGATCTTTCAATAATACTCTTCTTTCCCTTGTCTTGATGGTGGTTTAAAGATTCTTAGATGAATGACATTCTCTTGTAGACGTTATTTCAGCATCCAGCAATTGTATTTTTCTTATTTTTCTCATTTCTTTGACTCTATTCCTCTATGATATACATTCTAGAGCTGAGAGATTATGTTGATTCTTTCTTGTTTATCATTTTTTTCTTATGAGAAGTACTAGTGCATGCATGAATGGAACTTTCTTTGCTCTATACAATTATTTTTTTTGCTTAGTATATATAGTGGGAGGCCGACAAAGCCTGTAGGTCATGTCAGACTTTCTTATTTTTGAAAATAGGTCGGGTTTGGCCTACAAATAAAGCCTTTAATAGGCCAGTAGGCCAGATAGGCTGAATTTTTTTTTTACGTAGGCTTGGGCTAAGATGGCAAAAGCCCAGCCTAGCCCAGCCCATTTACACCCTTAGTCTCTTCACATGGTCTCGTATGGGACCTACACACTTTTATATTAGTGTAAGAGATAGATAACATTATCTTATACAATATAAGAAACATTAATCCCTATGTTTTAACTTAGTAAGGGAATGAAACTAAGGGTAATACTTTTCTAATGTTGCATAAGAAAAATAATATCTCTTACACTCACATTTTTTAAAATGGATCCCACAAGAATTTGTTTCTCTCTCCTCAAACTCTTTTTTTTTTGAGTAAATACTCTTTTTGATCCTAAGCAAATTTCACGATGCCCAATTTAGTCCCTAGCAAATAAAAAGGCCCATTGTGGTCCCTAAGAAATTCAAAATGAATCCATTTAGTTGAAATCGTGGTCCCTCATAATTTCAAAATAGGCCCATATTAGTCCTCAAAAGGACTAAAATGGGTCCATTTTGTGTATCTTAGGGACCACGATGAGCCTTTTTATTTGCTAGGGACTAAAACGGGTATCGTGAAATTTGCTAAGGACCAAAAATGATATTTACTCTTCTTTTTTTTTTTGGGAATTTGTAGGGGAAAAACCCCACAGACACTAAAACAAGGAAATCCTACGCATAGAGCAAACCTCAGAAAATCCAGCTAAATACAGTAACTAAATCCCAGGTGGGGCGAAAGGGAAAAAACAACAACTATTATCTAATGGGTGATTAAGGGGATACTTAGTTAACCAATCCACGCATCTATTGCTCTCCCTATAAGAGTGAACAAGTTGAACTTTTTAGTTCTTCAACAACCAAGCTCGAATACGAGTCACCAGATGGGACTCTCGAGCTGCTTCGCCATCTCTGATGAGCAAAGTGATAACAGACATTGAATCACTTATTTATTATTTGGGTAGGAGATAATATTTTTTTATGCAACATAAAAAAAATTATTACCCTAAAACTAATGATTTATGACCTTATGAGCAAATAAAAAAGATTGTGCCCTTTCAACGAAAGAAATTTTGGTGATCCACACCAATCAAAATTAGATAACTAATGAGAATAGAGGAGAAATAATTTTTTATCCAAATATCACTTCCTTATTGGAAGGATCACATGAAACCTAAAGCACCAAATTTTTTTTCACTTTCCACTTTCAACCACAAGGAAATAAACTATGTAGGAAGTGACTTGTGATTTGTGACATTTTTTTCACGGCAATTATATTATATCTTGTGAGTTTACCATTTGTTTGTTGATAATGAACGCAGGCTCATAATATTTGTTCATGCAAATACAATATCAATAATATCTTCTATCTTTACTAGTAGCTCAGTTGGCACATGAAAATTAGTGATTGTTTAAATTTTCTCTTTTTTAAGTTAGAAGCTGCTTATAAGCACATGAAAACTAGTAGCTCAGTTTAGAGTTTAGGGTTTAGATCCTCTCTTTATCTGCTTATAAGCTAGGTCAAATAGGTTTTGGAAAAAGCTCTTATAGTGAAAATCTCTTTTTTTTTTATAATGAAGAAAAAAGCTGAAAATTAAAAACTCCTAGGAGGAGCTTTTTTTAAGCTCTTGTCTGCTTTTCTTGAATTGTGTGCTCTTTTTTTAAATGAAGAGTTATAAAAATAAAGAGAGAGATAATTTTTTTAAAATATGTGCTTTTAAATAACTTTTAAACTAAAACTTTCATGTGATTACCAAACAGTTTTTAGCTTTTTTTTTAAGTTTTTTGTTTTTGCTTTAGCTTATAAGTAACTTCTAGCTTAAAAAAGAGAGAATCCAAACAGGCTCTTAAGCAGTTGAGGATAAAAAGTATGTGTACGCTCCTCAGTGTCATTTTTTAGAAGAATTTAAAGCTTTAGTCACGAATGAACCACCCCGAACTCCGAATTTATCGATAAGAAACTTATGGGATTACTGGGGATAATCTCAACCAAAAAAAAATTCTTCTATCTCTACTTTCAATCTTTATCTAGTCTTACCATTAAGTCAGCAACCATGTTATTAAGTTAACATGCCATTTACCAAACTGTCAAAGCCCTACTATTGACATGAAGATTACCCTTTAAGCTTGAATTTTAACATTCCTACCAAACTGCCACCAGTTTCGTTTCAAGCCATGATATCACAATCAATGATGGAGAACCCACCTTATACTGTTGGAAAATATTTTCATTACTAAAAATACATATCGACCACTCAGTACATTCTTTTATCAAATATGAAAAAAAAAAAAAAAAAAACATATTTATATCACCTTTATCTTTATGGTTATTTCCTTTCATATCCTTAATTTTTCCATTTTAATAAAGATGTACCTACTCATTGCACAAAAAATTTCCTCTTTCTGTTGACAATGACGTAAAAAGCATGGAAGGAAAGTCACCATCACTCTCAAAACCATCAGGTGCACAATCAGCAACACTAGGACTACAAAAATTTCCTGTACTTCTCCCCAATTATTAGTCATAAAAAAGCACTTTCTCTCATTTCTCTATAGAGAGAATTCCATATATGACTGATTTCTGGGCTATTGAAGACAAGTGTATCATCAGAACTAAATACACACAACTTGTTATTGACTTCAATTGAGGAAAAGCCATGACTCTTATTAAACCCCGCTTCAGCCATCCTCATCCTTGTACTCTCTCCTATTTCCCACATCCTGCTGTCATCATATATGTTCGACAGTAAAACATGCAGGGATAAATCATTAGGCTCTATAAGTAAAAGTGTTTTAGCTATTTCTTCAGCAAGTTCAACTCGTTTATGGAATCTGCATGCATTTAACAGAGCTCCCCAGACATTAGGACCTGGTTTTATTGGCATGTCAGATAGAAAGGATAAGGCTGCATCAAATTGGCCAGCCCTAGCTAAAACATCTATCATGCAGGCATAGTGTTCCTCAGTTGGAGAAATGGCATAATCTTTCATAGAATTAAAGATCCTCCACCCCTCTTGAACCATTCCAGTGTGACTACAAGCTGATAGAACTGAAATAAATGTAACTGAGTTGGGCATATGTTTTTCTGACATAACACATGCATTCTGTGTCATTTGATCAAAAATGGCTAGAGCTTCTAGATACAAGCCATTCATTGCACATCCATTTATCATTGCAGTCCAAGAGACTACATTTTTTGCTGGCATCATACAGAAGATTCTGTAAGCAGTTTTGACACAACCGCATTTAGAGTACATGTCCACAAGAGAAGTATAATTTACCACATCCAAGTCAACCCTGTTTCTAATCACAAAGCCATGCACGCTCTTTCCTTGCTTCAAAGACCCCACACCAGAGCAAGCTAGAATTACGCCAGCAAAAGTCACAGGATTAGGGGTAATTGAGTTTTCCAGCATCCTTTTGAACACGGACAAAGCTTCCAAAAATCTCCCTTTTTTAGCACAACCATTAATGACAGCACTCCATAGAACCACATCCTTATTGTCATTAGCTTCTTCAAACAGCCTAAATGCATAGTGAATAAACCCACATTTCATATACATATCTATAACAGATGTCAGCAAACAGATATTCACAAAAAGATTGTTCTTTATACACACACCATGAGATGCTTTCCCTTCTCTCCCGGCCAAGACGTTCGCGCAGGCTCTAACCAAACCTTCCACTGTAAAAGCATCCCATCGGAAACCAAAATAGTTAGTCATATAAAGGAATAGTTCAAAAACTTTGGATTCTTGAGAAAACTTCAAATACCCCTTTATCATAAAACCCCACATAACCGAGCTTCTGTAAGAATATCGTTCAAACAGCTTGTGGGCATTGGTCAGATAACCCAACTCAGCGTAAATCTCCAAAAGCGCAGGCACGATGAACACGTCTCCTTCCAACCCAGATTTGATGGCCAAGCAATGAAGCAATCTCCCATTTTGCAAAAGCAGCAACCTTTGACTCGCTTTAATGGCAAATACCAAGTTGAAGCTATCAACTGCATTGCCCTCACTTCGCAAGCGAGTGAAAAGCTGCAAAACATCACCGTAGAGACGGTGTTTTGAGTAACCGGAGATAATAGTGTTCCATGAACGAAGGTTCTTTACGGTGATCTGTTCAAAAGATTTTGTGGCCAGTGGAAAAGAACCCGATTGGATATAGGCGTTGGTGATGTTAGAACCATAGAGGACCTCTTTGTGAAGCCCATTGATGATTACCTGAGCGTGAAGTTGTTGAACCAAAGAGAGACTCTTGGCGTAAGAGAACAAGGCATGAAGGGTTTTGAAAGGGTTTTGTGATGAGATAGTGGGCGCGCTACGCATGTTCGTTCTCGGTGATAATAATAATGTAAGAAAATTACAGAACGAGAGAAATGTGTTCCGGGAAAAATAAAATCAAACCATCACTGCTCGACCGACAACCTTAAATTCCCAAAAAAAAAAAAGGAAAATGTACTTCCCCTCTCACGGAAGAATATATGTTTTTGCAAATACTAATAAAATATAATCATAATTTTAAAAATCATTTTTTTCTCTCTCCTCAAAAAATTGTCAACTAATCAACGAAGAAAAAAATAAATAACTTTAATATTCCAATTACATCTTACTATAAGACATAATTGTAATTGATTGTTATACAAAATCTCATTACAAAGAAGAAGTTGGGAACCGAAAAAAGAAAAATTTGTACCGGATTGTTTATCATAATATTTTGTTGTTAGCCCAGCATTGGCATGGATCTGATGTCACGAGTGAAGGAAACGTTTTCTTTCAACTCTAGTTGCTTTCAATCATCAGAAAGAACCCAGGATTTTCCTATTTTTTTAACAGGAAATAATGTTGACAAAACGTATCCTAAAAGTTTATTTTCATAAATTAATAAAACTATAGCTCAACTCATGTTTATATAAGGCTAACGTTTCCTAATTTCATCAACTGCAAGTTAAGAAAAGTAAGAAATCCCATAGTTGCGCTTTCTCTATCCGTGTCCCTCTTCTTTCTCATGCGGCTCATTCTTCATGTCTTGCCATTGATGAAAGGCATCACTACGAGAAAATATTTAGGACACAATTGGAGTGCGCATGAACAGGAACTGCAACCAAAAGAAAATGAAAGCTGTGTCAACAAACATTGAAGCAAATTATGCAAGTCTTCAGTAACTAACTACTATGGTGTATACCTCAAATGATTTCCCTGATCGTTCAAATTCTAGCATGCTCAGAGCAACCTGACAACTTTGTGAGACAAGAGGCTCTGGATCTGCCGTGAACTCCTCAAGAAGGGCTACACTTTGATCATCTTGCATACAACAAAAGAACTATGTTAACACTCCAAAACTGTAAACGAGAAGATTTAAATGCTTTGCAGTTAACTAATAAATGGTTAAGTAGTCAACTACTATCTGTCAAGAGGCCCAGCAGAATACAACCATCTTATTGAAGACCAAGAGATTAAATAAAGTTTCTTACAATAACTCCGTAAAATGAACTAAAAGTTAGCATATATTATAGACTTTTCATTGACATAAAAACTAGTTTAGAGAGAGAAATGAATATTATTCATGTGCTAATTATAGAATTCAATTACAAAGAATAGGCACACGCAATCATTTTCAGCAGGTTGCCACCACAAGTTCGGAAAATTAATATAGCAACTGATAACAGGAAGATAGCCCATCAATATTCAATGAAGAATAGAAATGATTTGGGGAGAAAAAAGATTTTACATCTCAGACTGAAACACAGGATTTCATTCATAAAAACACAGTAAGATGCTTCTCTAAAGTGACACATATTATCTCCTCCAACTCCAACAAGCATTTTGCATGATACTTTAGAGTGCAAACAACTTCCAAATCTCTTTGATTAGCATAAAGTGCTTTATCCAACACTTTAAAAAAAATTCCCCTTAATTAATTTTATCAACTGGATGAGAATGAGCTTAATTTTGACCAGAACCAGTCACATCCAAAACACACTGAACAGAGTCACTAGAAACTTCAATCCAAGTGTAATTGGACTGCTCATTTATGAAGCACCGACACTTCAAAAATTCTAACGTATCGTGTCCGACAGTTCCCGACACTCTCCGACACTCCAACACGCATTATAGAAATTCAAAAAAAGTTACAAAAGTTGCGTAGCGTTGAGTTTTTAGTTCCAACTATTAGATTCGTTGGATTATGATTACCATTTTATTGAGTTTAATATAAATATTTGGGATATCTTATGTTTCTTTGCAAAATTGATGAATATTATAAGTTTAGTTTCATTTTGTTGTTAAATTATTGAATATTAAATATAATATACACTACATAAATTAAAAATATTATTTAATATCAAAACGTGTCCTAACGTGTCGAAATCTAACATTTTTTAGAATTAACTTGTCGGAGTGTCGTGTCGTGTCACATGTCCCGTGTCGGTATCGGTGCTACATAGCTGCTCATCACCAAAAAGAAAAATTACTTTGACTGCTGCTATATACTCCTTACGAATTCCAGACATAAGTTTACTCAATATACTTGATCATGATTTGTTTTTGAATTATGAATGTTGGCTCATAATATTTGGTCATTAGAATAAAAAATCAATATCTTCAATCCCTACTTTAAATTGAGGAAAAGCCAGGACTCTTATTATACCCAGCTTCAGCCATTCTCATCCTTGTACTCTTTCCTATTTCCCACATCCTACTATCAGCATATATGTTTCAAAGTTAAACATGCAAAGTGCAAACAACTTCGAAATTTCTTTGATTAGCAAACATATTATCGCCTCCAACTCCTACAAGCATTTTGCATGATACTATAGTATGCAAAGTGAAAACAATTTCCAAATCTCTTTGATTAGCAAAAGGTGCCTTATCCAACACCTTTAATTTTTATTCTTTTCATTCATTTTGTTAACTGGGTGAGGATGAGCTTACTTTTGACCAGGAAAAGTCACAACCAAACACACATGAACAGAGTCACTAGAATTAATAGAAGTCGCAGTCTAAGTTTACTAGGTTTGCTACTGTATACTCATTAGTTCTATACAACTTATAAATTCCACATATTATATGATATTATTGAATTTCTTCTTTTATACACAGATGGCACCACAAAACACAGCACTCCTGTAATTCATTTTATGAGTTTGAGAATAAAAGAAATCACACCATTCAATAATATTTGCCTGTAATACCTGCAATTGAACCAAGAGCTTCAGCAGCTTCATGTCTAACCATTGGATGCTCATTCACATCTTTAAGTATATTGGATAGAGCAGCTGAAGCAGCTTTGTCTTGCAATTGGCCCAAAACATATGCAACCTAATAATCACACAAAATATTGGCATTCAAAAATTAAGAAATTCAAACAGGTTACACAAATCAAAGCCACATCCTTAAAACAGTTATCTAATATTATTACTCATTTAAGTTTAAGTGATTGTTTTTATTATACTTAAAAACAACTGGTTATTTCCCATGACAATTACATGTTTATTTTATTCTAAAGAATAGAAAAAATGGTTATACAGTTAAAAGTACAAATGAAATACCAAATACTTATTTAAGAAAGGCTAGTATATGACAATGTAGCTTTCTAGATCACACCTTATGTCTCTTCATGTAAAGTGCATAACTAATCACTTATTGACTATACATACAAACCATACTCAATGCAGGTAAAATTTACAGAAATAAGAGTAAACTTATCAAACCTCGTGGCGCAGTAGAGCACTTTTTGAACCCAAGGAATCAATAATAGCAGCAACAGCTTCATTTCCACCATCATTTCGAAGTGCAAAAAGAGCTGCATACCGCTCATACATCCCTTTTTCTTCATCAAGAAGTACCTTCCTAATATTGATTAACACAAGTGAGCAACCTACAATTCACTCTTTAGTTAACATGGGATTCAATCTAATAGTATGAACCAAAACCAAACAAACCTTAGTTGGTCAACAGAAGAACAAGAGGCTGCTGGAGCTGCTGGATCAACAGATTTAAAAGGAGATACATCTGCTGTGGACAATTCATCAGCATTATCAGAATCTTTTAAATGCTGAATACGATGAAGAGCCAATTCACATGTTTCTCGAACCTCCTGAGCCGGATCTAAATCCAAGCTATTCTTCAACAGAGGAACATTACCATCTGAACCAATAGCACCAAGTGCTTCAGCTGCCTAAGCAATTATAACAAACTCAATCATCTTAGAACTGGAAAAATGATTTAATTAAAAAAAAAAAGAGCAGAGACATAGTAGAACAAAGAGTAAAGTAACTCTCGGGTCCTCAACAAAAATCATGGATCCCATTTTAACCCCTTAGAAAAAAAAGAGTCAACATATGGTCTTTCTGAAATTCAAAATAGACTCAGTAAGTCAAAATCGTGGTCCCTTTGAAATTCAAAGAAGTTACTCCCTCGAAAGGACTAACATAAGTCTATTTTGAATTTCAGAAAAACCATGATTTGACTTCTTTTTTTCCTAAGGAATTAAATTAGGGCCCGTGAATTTTGTTGGAGAGAATTTATGGCTGTCCGGGACCACCATTTTTTAGGTGGTCCTTAGTGTAAACGGGAGGGTAAAATTGAAAAAGAAGAAAAATAACAGGGGTAAAAAGAAAAAGAAAAAATTAGTGTTGTGAGAGGAGCACCAAATCATTGAGGTAATGGAGCATAAAAAATATTTCCATTTTGTTGAGTAGCAAAGGTACTTTACTCTATAACAAACAAAAAAAGAAGAAGAAATAAAAAGGCTACCTCATGGCGAACAATGGGATGCAAAGAAAGATCATTTAGAACTGAGGTCAAAGCAGGGATGGCTTCCAATTCCTGCATTTGACCCAATGCAAAGGCAGCTTCATGTGCCAATAAATTTGATGAATCCCTTGTGGCTGCCAAGGAAAACTAACTCGAATCAATGCAATTAACACAGAAAAATAATTTCTTCTCCAAAAACAGCTACAATATACTCGCAATAAAATAAAAAGAAGTCTATGAGCTGCTGAAATACAATAAAAGCACAAATCAAGCATCAAAAATCATCTAAGCTAACCTAACATAAACTAAGGGTTGTGAAAAAGAAAAGGAAAGGGAGTAACTAACCGAGAATAAGAGCGTTGCGAGGGGCAGGACCTTTGAGGTTGCGAAGAGAGAAGAGAGCTCTGAAGCGCTCAGAAATAGGCTGGTTCGAATCCAGCAACAACTCACACAGGAACTTTTCCATGTCCGGGGAACACAAAACGCCGTCGTTTAACGAATCCATAACCATAACAGAGATCGTCGGAGAAAACTTCTTCTTGTTTTCACTTTGATGCTGCCCCCTCTCTCAGCCTTCGCAGTGCACCACCGAATCGTAGCATTCCTAAACGCTCGTAAATATGGCGTTATCTACCGGGATTTTTTTTTACAATATAACCCCATTTTTTTATTCTTATTTTTTTTTATATATTTTCGGATATAATATTGTAACACATGTTCTCACTCTCATCTACTTAGCTCTGATGGTCTCACCCCACCTGCTAAGCTCCCATGCGCCTGCGCCAACTGAGCTACACTATTTGATTGATTGATAGTATCTCTAATTAATTGTTACAGTAGCCTTCTCTAACTATTCTTGTCTCGCAAGCACCGACACGAGCAAATTTTGAAAATTTGCGTGTCGTACACGTGTCCGACACGGACACGTTTCGACACGCAACCAACTTTCCGACACGTTTTTTGGACACGTAGTCAACTTTTTCGGACACGCGGTCAACGCTCGAACACTTTTTTTTTAATCTTAATTTTATTTTATTAACTAAATATAAAAAAAAAATTATAAATTAATTTTTTTCTATTATGAAATTTGAGAGAAAAAATTAACAAAGTACGAAAAATTTTTTATTTATATTTATGTTATAAAATTTAAATATTTGATTGGTTATATGACTTATTATAAACTTTTATATGTATTAAATATAAATTATATTATATATATTAAAATTTTATTTAATATCAAAACGTGTCTCAACGTGTCGAAATATGACATTTTCTAAAATTAACGTGTCGACGTGTCGTGTTGTGTCATATGTTCGTGCGTCATAGATTCTCGTATTATCAAGAATAAATTTTTTTATATATCATCAATTTTCGTGTAATTCAATTTTCTTTTGTAATATCAATTTTTATTTTTTTATAATTAAATAGATTCCACTTATAATTGTGCCTATGCTAAAAGATAATCATTTTCCTAGTAAAGCCTATTTTCTTCCCGCGGACCAAAATAACTTTTTGTTTTCGTCATGGGTCAAAGTGCAGGGAGTCACAGACTCACAGCCTAAAAGAACATGATCGACTGATCGTGCAGCTTATGCCACAATTCAAAACGATTAAATTGACACCAACCCTATCTAGATTTTAGTAATTAAAAAACAAAGAAAAAAAATCCTTAGCGGCATTGGTAGGATACTTTTGTTAATATTGATATTCATATGAATACTTATCAAAGAACTAGGAGATTTTTCACAATAAAAATATTTCATGTGTTCAATGTTCACATGCAAATTAATTAGGGTATCATTAGTTAAAAATGTAGTTTAATTTCCACAACATCTAACATATATTGAATGTGGCACTATATTATTATTCTAGTAGATCATTATGGTATTTTATATTTTAACTAATATTTTTATTTGATGATCATATATTTATTTACTTTCAACTCAAAATATTGTTTTTGTTAAATAAAATTTTTATCTCAAATAATAAAATTAAAATCATGTTTCAGTGATCATCCTATGAACACAACTCATCCAGATAAAACGTGTTAATTTACTTCAAAAGAATTTCATGATTATTGCATATTAATGGAAATTAGTATTAAACATTTTCTTGCATATGTTTGTTCTCAAAATAATTACATTGAAATTTTTATTAATTGTGTAAAATTTATTTTTAGACTATGCTTATGAGATCAAAACTTACCTTGTACCACTTTGCACTATGGGTTTTTGACATGAGAAATGTGATTTTTTAAGAATTTCACACGTTTAGTTCGTTGACCAAATGTATTATCGGACTAATGAAGGAAGACACTTGTGGCTACGCGTTTAGTCGCGCACCTACACCTAACACATACGCATAACATGACGCGTCTCTGACACGTACTTGCACATGACGCATCTTGAGAAGAGAGTAATTGAAGGAGCATGGACTCTGTTGATTGAATGCCATATAAATAAATGGGAGATGAGTTTTGCCATATATAGAAAAACTTGGGAGATCACTTCAAACATGCATAACTTCAATAATAGAGTGAGTGGGAAGAGAGTACGTATAGCTCTGTTGTTTTTGTATGCCATATATAGAAAAGGTAGATACGTCATGAGCAACTTTGTCAAGAACACATGTAGCGGGTTGTAATTAGATTAGAGACGATAGAAAAATGGATTAGATGGGTCACTGGACAATTAGAGAGGACAGAAAAAATGGATTAGATAGGTCACTGGACGATTAGAAAGGACAGAAATGCGCATCAGGTGCAGTGGTGGTCAGAAAGAAACGTGCACCTGTACAAATATGTACAAAACACGCACTTGGTACAGACATGTACGAAACGCGCACCTGGTACAGACGTGATCAAACTGGACAAACGAAATCAGACTCAACTACATGTAACACACATGTGTAAGGTGCGCGACTAAATGCGTAACCTCCAGAAACGTGTCTTCCTGTATTAGTCCGGCAATACATTTGGTCAACGAACTAAACAGATGAAATTTTTAACAAATCGTATTTCTCAAGTCAAAAACCCTGGAACCATCTCAAGAAACTAAGTTGGGTCCACAAAGCCGTTATGTGTTGGTTTTGTCTCTCCAACTATTATTAATTTTACGGTTATTAGTTAGGGATTAATAACAATTATGTTACATGAACAAGATTCCTATCATGCAAGACTATCGACAAAATGAAATTTGTCTCTTTTAATATTTTTTTTATTTTACTTGTCGTTTTCTATTGTAGGAAAAAAAAAATTACTACAACGAGATCAAACGAAAGCCCTATTAGTTAAGGGAATAAAAGATAAAGGGTCAAAAGCATAATAAATTTGTTGGAATTCACCACATTAACCATTTTATATATGGGGTTTGATTTTCTCATGTTGCATGAGAATTCAATTCTCATATTGTGACTCAACTAGTGGTGAGTCCCATATTTATTAAAAAAGAAAAAGAAAAGAAAAGTTTTGCACGCAAATTGAAGGGTCACAAAACATGAGAAAATGTTTTCCCTTTATATATACACACAAATTAATGCGAATTTGAAGTTCAAATAACGATTCATTTTAGAATGTTGCAAACCCATTGTCATATAGTTTTATAAGCACCTAAAAGTTTAGTGAACCATATGTGGAAAATATTCCGCTACAATTAATTGTTCCTTAAGGGGGCGTTTGGTTCAGGAAATTTTTTTGGAATAGTAGGGAAATAAGATAGATAGAGAAATGATTGGAAAGATAGATAAAGTGAGATAGGTAGAAAAATGTAAAAAAAAGTTGTTTGGTGGGGAAAAACTTTACTGGGAAAATTAAGTAGCTTTATGAAATCAACAGTGCATTAAAAGTCAGATAACCGATTTTTCGAAAAATCCCACCTTCAAATTGGGTTTCTAAACAGTGCGGATATCTATATTTCTCATAAATCCAGACAAATTGGATAGATGAGTTTTTGGTGAAAAACATTGAAACAAACATGGTGTTTCTAAAAGCCATACTTGAGAAAGATAGATATCCGCTGAAGAGCTCCTAACCAAACACCACCTATGGGCGTGAATGTGATAACTAATGAATGTAAAGTATGCTCGAAGTGTGGTAGATTTATACTAGTGCAAAGCATTTTCCTCTATAATAGAAATAAAGAAACTTTAAAGCGACAGTGATAATATAAATTAAAAACTTCATATTTATAGAAAAACAATCCCAAAAGTGACCTCAGTACCAAAAAGTTATGAGATTTCCTTAATACTTGAAAATATAATGATATAATATTATACTCTATGTATACACCATTAGAATTTTTTATAATTATAATGGCCCATAATTAATTGTATTTTTATTTTTTTGTTTTCATAAAAACAGGCTGAAGATCCATATAAAGGTGCAGAATAAAATTGGCTCTTTAACCCATTTTGGATCTTTGATCCCTTAATACCAATTTGGTATTAGGTCGATATATTTTATCATTGGGGATTGTTTAGTTCTGCATAGAGGTCAGCTGTTTGAGTGCCACATCCATTAAGATAAGATAAGTTAAATCATAATGACTCATTTTATAAACCACAACTGATAGGCTATTTTTAGGAGCTCCAATTAGGATTTAATAAGATAAAAAATATCACAACCTTCTTATATAAGCATAAACGTCATAACCCTTTTATTTAAACTTAGCCTCATATTACACTCATGGGATTTGAGGGGAAACCAGCCACCATTATCGTCATCGGCTAGCCATTAACATCGCAAGATGCGTGTTTAGAAAAGAATTTTTATTATCTTTCACCCAACAACAAATCTCGATCTCTGTCAAAATCTTGTGCATAATATGCTTGACACAATTAATATTAATCCCATTCAATAAATAAATTAATGCATGCAATAATTTAAATTGAATTATTTCGTGTTATGCGTGACAATGAATTATATTTTGTCATTTTGATGATATTCCAGTTATTTTTGTTATGTTACATACGAAAATTTTGATAATTAATTTCAAACTTGTTTCTAAAAATTTATTTGGTGAATATATGAATTTTTATATATTTTTTAAAATTACTGTTTTTATTTTTGTTAACAATTTAAATTAATAATTATAATTTTTTTAATTTTTAATAATTTAATAATTAATGTATAAATAATTAAAAAAATGAAATCAATTTTAAAACATATATAAAAATTCATTGGGAAAGATATTCTAACCTATTTGTGTCATATGCTGACAATAAATATTCACCAAATACGGAATAATATAAGTGTATATAAGATATATATTCCTTATTATTTTTATTTAACTATCTTATTCAATTTTTCTTCATTTTTATTTTTTTTTGGTAAACATTCATTTTATCTTTATCAATATTAAATAGTGAGATATTTTGAAAAATGAAATAAAAATTTAATTATATACAAATTTTTTATTTACAAACTCTTATAAAATATACTATATATTTTTGAAAATATACTAGATTATACTATATATTTTCACAAATACATAATATAATTTATAAAAATTTATAAAAAAATTTTATAAATGAATCCGACCTTAACAATAAATATGAAATTTAATATGATTAAATATCAAAATATTTTAAGAGGAAATATAATTTTATTATTCAAATTTTGTATTACTAATTTACTACCAATTTAATCATCATTAGATCAAAGAGAGAATGTTTAAAAGTTTTTGAAGAGAGAGAAAATGCTGATCCAAAGATAATTAAATAGGTAGTAAGTTCCAGTGTTGTCAAACCCGGCTCGACCCGACCGGGTTGACCCGGACCCGGTGACCCGGTGGGGTAACCGGTTTGGGTTGCACTTTGGACCGGTCATGCAATCAGCCTAGTATGACCCGGATGACCCGGCTGGGTTTTTACTGAACCCGTTGACCCTCCGGGTCTTGTAAACCGGTGCGGGTCAAATGCTTATATTAAAAAAAAAAAATTAACTCCCTAAAAAGAACACGGGTTCGTCTTCTCACCAGCGAAATCCCTAAAAAGAACACAGCCATAAACGTAAAAAAACATAAAATTCATCGCGGGTCATTTTCATAAGTCTGTCTACTACTTCATCGAGTCACAAGGAAACCCTCAAGAGCACCTTGGTTGTTCTTCTCTCTTCGGAAAGGTATCTTTTTCAACATTTATCTCATCGAGTCATTGCTATTTTTTTATTTTTTGGTTCCAAGTATATTTTTCCTTGATTTGTGTGAAGTATGTATGGTGTAGGCTGCACACAGCGTGTGAATTACAGACCAAAATGTTGGTCAAGATTTAAATGAGTTTGGTAGAGAAAGAGAGCTAATTGACACAACTTTGGCACCATGGGCATAGTGATAGCATGTAGTTTCATTCATTTGTTCTTATTTTGTGCAATTTACTAATTAAGTATGAACTTGTAATAGTGTGATAGGATAATTTTTGCGCTTATTTAATGAATCTTGCTTATCTTTTTTAGATATGGAGAATATTTTAAATTTATATATATATATATAGATATCCGGGTCAACCGGTTCGACCAGTTACCCACCAGTCCGACCAGTGACCCAGTACCCCGACCGGGTCGATGCCCGGGTCGGGTCTAGTAACACTGGTAAGTTGGTAGTGAAAAATTTTAATAGTAAGAATATCTCTCCTCATATTTAAAATAGTGAAATAAAAAAATTTAGGAAAAAATATTTATCTTTTTAAATGACACAACTTATATCCTTTGACTTTCACAAAGATGTGGGACCCACACCTTTATTTTTTTTTTTCAACTCTTTTCTTCTTTATCTATCTCTTTCTCCTTTTTAAAATTAGACAAGTTTAGGTCTTTTAAAATGATATACACTTTACCCAAAAAATCTATTGTAAACCATCGTTTCGGTCCATCAACTCTTCTGCGTTCACCCCTGCTCCGTTGCAGAGCAAGATCGAAAGTTCCAGCTTCAAAGTCCACAGGTTCGCGTACAACTTTCCGAGATTTCTTCAGATCTGATTTTTGTTTTGTGCACTTTCTTTGCTGCTTAGGTTTCCGTGTTCATTTTTAAGAATTTTTGGTTGATTAATTGCGATAATTTTGTTCCTCGAAACAGAGATTTGACGATCGAGCGAGCCATGAATGCTAGACGGTTAGTATGGATCATTGGTTTGAAATTTATTATTTCAAGAAGCTTCGATGAATCGTAGTGGTCGTTATTGAATTCGTTTATGCTAGGCTATGCAATGTTTGTTTGGTTAATCCAGATCCATGGACGGATTTCAATCTGATGATGACTATATTAGTGTAATTGGATAATTGGTTCGTAAATGGAAGTTTCAAATATGTGATTTTATTTCATTCCGGACAACTTTGTTGTACACGTTGTATTTACTCAGTAAGATTGAAATTGTGTGGGAGGAAGTAGGTGAAGTGGTGAAGTATAGATAGAGTGTCCGTACTCTTGTTCTTCCCAAACTCGACAATTCACTGATCCTTGCATATAACTTTGATCTGATGACTTGATTATCGGTGGCATTTAGATTCCTGTTACAGATATCAGGGGTGGTGTCTGAAGGAGCATGTCTTCTGATTTAATTGGTTTCAACTAGTAAGTCGAACCTAACTATGTGTGGTCAATTTTTATGTCTCGAAAGTTAGGTTGAATTTGAGGTTTTCAAATTGCATTCAGATTCCTCTAACATGTAATTAACTAAACTTTAGATAGCATGCTTCATATGCTCCAAGAATTCAACCGGTAGTTTTCTACAATTTTTTTTTTTTTAAATAACAGCTGTTGTTAACTTTTTTTGCATTTTGCACAAGACTTGGGCTGGAAGTTATCTAATCACCTAGCAGAGAAATTATAGGAAAAATTTTAAATTAATAATAAACCAAATTAAACTCTATTAGTAAAAGAATTAGGTGTTTGTATATATAGCCCCAGATATTTGAATGCTGAGACAACCTTTTTTCTTCTTTTTTATTTTATTTGTCGATCTTGATGTTTTTATGCAATATGGAGATGCTCATGTCTGATGACTCTCTTCAGTTTTATAAACTGTCTAGAAGGGTAATTCCTCTTGTTTGTGTTTTGTCATGTGACCATTTTGGGGCTTTTGCATATTTTTTTCTATTTTAGAGACAACCGTAACAGCAGAGTTGCTCTTTTTGATGGTATTGAGGAGGGTGGCATCAGAGCATCATCTCTTTACTCGTCCTCCCATGAAATTGATGAACATGATAATGAGCAAGCCGTGGATGGATTGCAAGATAGAGTCAATCTGCTAAAAAGAGTAAGTTAACCATTGCTAGCGACATGCCCTAGACCTCATTTAGTTCTCCCTAGATATAAGTGGTTGATGTTCCTTGTAATCATTTTATCGTTTTGTTAATACTGTTGCTAACCATCTCAATCTTTTCAATTAGTTTTCTCTTAATATCTTGTTATTTTATTTGTTGATAGGTGAAAGGTAATTTGTACTACAGAAATTGCAACCTTTTGGACTTTGAAATTGGAAATTTTGCATATGCATTAAATTGCTTCTTTTTTTGCCTTGCTTTTGTAAATTTAGTATTCGATTCTTGTTCACCTCCATCTTCTTCACTGTTGACCAGAAGTATTAATTATCTCTCATTCTCTAATGGTATAACAGGTGCTCTTAACTTTGTTTAGTATTATAAGATCTATCTGTTTTTTAAAACCCGACCACTTCTATAGTGTTTAAAGATATAGATAGTGTTTAGAATTGTATTTCATACAGATGTAAATAGCAGTCAGTTGTGCGATGGCCTAAAATATCTAGTTTTATCAACTAGCAAATTTTTTTTAATGGGTGTGATTGCAACAGTTATCAGGCGATTTACACGAGGAGGTCGATAGCCATAATCGCATGCTGGATCATATGGTGTGTTTACTGAAACTACAGAAATTATTCGCCATTTTTTCTGCTAATTCTTTGTTCTGCTTTAGTAATCTGGTGGTATTAATTTAGGGGAATGATATGGATGCATCAAGAGGAGTCCTCTCAGGCACCATGGACAAATTTAAAATGGTATTTTGACTAGTAATCCTATATGCCTCTAGAAAGATCGTTTCTTTGTAGTTTTTTCTTTCTATTTCTATTCGTGGTCGTTTGCCTTCTTTAATTTTTGTTGGGGAAACATAAAAGATGGGGTGGGGTGGAGTGGAATGGAGTTGGGTCTTCTCTCGGTCAGGACCAAATATTTACTTTTTCATGGCTGTTTTAATTATTTTGTCTCATCTTTCAGGTATTCGAGACTAAATCCAGCCGGAGAATGTTTACGCTTGTAGCATCCTTTGTTGTGCTTTTTCTTATAATATACTACCTAACTAGGTAATTGATCTTTCATTCAACTGTCATCTTTAAGTTAGATACGGGAGGAAGCTATTTTCTCTATTACTGTAATTAATGCTACTACCTGTAAGATACTGTTTGTATAAAGGTTTTAACGTTTTAAACAGGTATTGAATCCAATGAGTAATGTCCATATCGGATTTGCTGTATATTTTCTCATTCCTTTTGATTTAGGATACGCTTGTTTGAGCATGTGGAAAATGAAAATGTATTTTGACATCACGTTTTGTGCCGGACTCTATTACCGTCTAAACGCATTTTTAATTTTCACCTACTCAATTAAGTGTAGCCTTTTTTCAATTTTTTTTTGTATCCGGATGTAGGTCTTTTGTGGCCTCGCCATAATATGCCACTCTGCCAGTAGAGCCCAACTCCCAAGTGTTCAATTAAACATGTAATTGTCTCTTCGAAATTCAAACTCGAACGATTATTTTATGAATTAAAGCAGTGATGCCATTAAATTATCTCTTTACTACTTTACAATGGCCCAAGTTTTCATGATCGTTGGTAAGCCGTTTGAGATTGTACGCAGAATTTATTCAGGCAACGAATCTCTAAGGCTGAATTGACAACGGTCAAATACTACAGCTCGCTTTCACCCATACATTGGACCGGTATTCTTAGTTAAGAGATGGAGGTGTGTATGAACTAGCATAAGAGTGACGACTTTGGCTACTCTTCGATAACTCCCCTAGCAATTTGCATTCGACTATGATCTACACTGAATTGAGGGGACATAATTTATGTGGAATCATTAGATTTTATATGAATCTATGTAAACTAATAAGATAAAGTAAAATGATACAGCAATTTATAATGTAAGAAAAATTTGAAACTCGCATATTTCCAATGTCAAAATAACATTTCTATTGTAATTTTCGCTGTTTCTATTTGCCCACTTGCACGATAATTTTTTGTAGGAAAGCCCCCAAAATCATTTTTGGGCTAAAAGAATGTTGTTCACCTTGGACTAGGTAACGTTATGGAGCCTCCCGATTTGCTCCGAGGCTAGCTCGGTACTGGTACGGCATGCTAATCAAGCACTCAATTTGTTTTGGTGGATCCTCTTATTTCGTGAAAGCTTCGTATTATGGTTCGACTAAAAGTTACTCTGTCTCAGCTCATGTTAAAATTGATGGTTTTGGGCCCGTTGTTTATTCATTAGCTATCATAAGATAAATTAATGGGAAATGCATTTGTCATGTTATATGATAAATAAATAGTTGTTATGTTAAGAAAAAGATAAATTATATAATATTAAAAAAGTGATAGGACACATTATTCAATAAATTTATTTTGTTTTTTTCTTAACATAACAACTATTCATTTGTCATGTAACATGACAAATGTATTTTCCTAAATTAATACAATAAATATTCATTTTCTCATTTTTTTTTGGATACATTCATTTTATCATCTGGTGTATGGTGTAAGTATTGTATTGTATAAGCTTGTTTATTAATTTTTAAAATTGAAATAATAAATAACTTAATCAGAACTTAAGAGGTAGGGTTGGGTTTGATTGAGTTATGATATAAAACTTATTGTAAGAACTTTCTCATTAATTACAATCTTAAATAGGGGCAGGTTATATTTACAAACTCTTACAAATTACACTATCTTCTTCCGGGAGAAGATAGTGTAATTTGTAAAGATTTATACAAAAAATTTGTAAACGGATTATTCCCCTCTTAAATATTCCAATACTTCCTCTACCATTGTACCTTTCCGACTGCTAATATCACAAATTAATGTCGTTGCCACAACCCACATGGCAGCAGCACGTGACTCTACAATTCTTCCTTCGTCATCGGGTTCTTTCCTTCTTTAAAATAAGACGAATTATTAAAAATCAAGATACTTAAATAAAAATTAACGATTAAGGGAGTCAATATTATAAAAATTAATATGGATGTTATATTTATGAATCCTTTCACTTATATATTTTTATGTTTAGTCCATTTTTTTCTCTACATATGATTTTATTATTCATATTTGAATTCCCACCTATCTGTCCCTTCAAGGTGAGAGTCTTACAATTGTTAACTCCCCTCACAAGTGAGAGTTTCTTCGAATATTTATTTATGAGGTTACTATGATCTCCAAATACTCAGCCTAGCCAATTCCCTGGCCGGCCCAAACCAATCAACCATAATCAATAAATATCACATTAATGATTTTATATTCCTTCCCAATTGCTAATATTGTAACTAACTCTCGTTTTACACCGCAGCATCGTTCCTTCTTGGCCACAATTGATACAGGCAATGAACTTCGCAATCTTAAGGAAGTGCTTTCTGATCCTCTATCGGTTGAAGCTTTGCAGCACAAAATTGATGTCGTGGAGAACAACCACATATAGACGATTACTGATTTGCTAGCAGGAAAACGAGCAATACCTCTTGTAAATGGGTGTATCATATCAAGTACAAGTCTGATGGGTCTATTGAACACTACAAGGCGAGGTTTGTCATTGCTGGAAATAACTAAGTCCCTGGAGAAGATTTTATCTATTTTCTTTGCGCTAGTTGCCAAAATGGTAAGAGTGCGCACTTTCCTATCCGTGGCAGCTACTAAGATATGGAAACTACATCAAATGGATTTCAATAATGCTTTTCTTAGTGACGCTCTATTTGCCCTTAGGTTTCCAACATAATTCCAAGAATAAGCTGTGTTGCTTGCAGAAATCCTTGTATATCTGAAGACCTTACTTGTTATCATAGGCTCGAAGAAAAATTGGTTAACTTAACCATAAAGCACCCGTATATTTGCTATGCGGTACACTCTCTCTCATAGTTCTTACACCAATCCAAATAGATACATTTATACGGTGCTCTTATTAGGGTTTTTTTTTTGGGTATATGAAGCGTAATTTGGGTCAGGGTGTTATGTTATAGTCAGCCAAGTGAAAATTAAAAATATCGAACTGGATTGTCATTTTATTTAATTGGGAGCATATCACAGCCAATACTATTTCTACTTCATATATTTGGTCCAAACTTGCACATATTTTAACCAAGGCACTTGCCTTCTGCTCTCTTTTTTAATATCATAATTACTTAATAAGATTCATGCCAATATAAGCAATTCCATCCGTATTTTAAAGCCTAAAACTACATAATCAGCTCCCACACCCCACCACAAAAAATTGTTGGAGGTAATGAGTTTGAGATATAAAGGTTTGGGATGCTTGAAATATTATTATATCAAGAGTCATCAAGTTTGGAATGCTTAACTGAGTTAGAAAATCCTAGGGATAATGCAAGTTATTGTGCTCCAAGATTAGGAAATCCTAGAGATAATGCAAATTATTGTGCTCGAGCCCATATTGACCCAAATAATCATACTTTCACCTATTAAGCTTGTATGTGAATATACTATTAGACTATATTATTAATATATCTAACAAAAATAAAAATAAAAAATCAATCAAAATGTTACTAATATTGCAACTATTGAACACAAAGACCATGAACATCTTTTTGCCGTAAGTTTACACTACAGGTGCACGACGTAACATGGCAATCAAGATCAATCATTTTGTTTATTGCTTCGATACCACGTAAACAAAGAAAATTAACTTCAATCGTTTGTATGAAATCATAGACATTATTATATCTAAGGCAATAGCTTGAACTATACACCTCTTTCCACATGATTTTACTAAACTAATACTCCCCTTAATTTATTAATTGCGAGTCTATAACTAATCCTAGTCACACTTCCGGAGCAGTTATACGTTATCGAACATTTGTCTTCAAACAATGCAAAGCAGATGAAGGACCAGCCGAAAAACGACAGAATCTCCATATTTTATGAACAGAGCTTTTGGATTATATGTTTAACGTTTTCATTCTAAAAAAAATGCATATAAATATATAATAGAAGTAACCTCGAGTAATTTTCGTTGTAACAAGCAATAAGTAGCTGCATACCAAAACTGAAAAAAACAAAAATGAGTACCAAAAGAAACATTCACATGATTAGGAATTCTGTTATAGAATTCTAGATAGTGAGATTTAGGGCTAGCTAGACATTATATTTTTAGGATAGAAAGTATTTTTTGAGTACCTTCCTCTTCAGAACCTTGAGTACCCCATCTTAATTAATTTCTCCCTTGAAAAAGCCCCAAGCTCTCCTAAGAAAACATGCTTATTGAAAGATAGAATAGATATATGTATAATCATGTTATGGATGATGACCAAGCCTCAGCTCCAAATCAATACCATCATTCTCTACACTGTTGTCTTCAAACTTGTCTTTAATTTCACGAACACATAATGGATTAGTGTACAAGCTCAAATTTCTCTGCCTCCAATCTTGTCCAAACTGGTGATGCTCCCGTTGGTTTTCTACACACAAGACCTCACCATATTGTACATGTGTTGTTGCAGAAGAATAAACTTGATGGTAGTTTCTAGCATCAGGAGCAGGATGGCTTGGAGAGTCTGAATAGAACCCTAGATCTGCATAGTTGTTGTTGTCATCAACTTTGTTTGAACTTGAAGGAGGGAAACTGGGTTTGGTTTTGTTGACTCTATCCTTTCTGTGTATGTTCATGTGTCCACCTAAAGCTTGTGCTGTGTTGAAGCCTCTCTTGCAAAAGATACACTCATAGGATCTTCCAGTTCCTGTATCATCATTATTCTGTTCAGATGATCGATCAGTTTCTTCGCTGGAGCTCTTGGAATACGACTCTTCAGGCGGGTAGCTCAAGTCCATGGTAAAATGATGAGGGTATGTGTACTTAATTATTTGATGGGAATTATATGTGAGAAAATGGAGACTTAAGAGTTAAGAGGGAAGGGTATTATAGAAAGGAGAAGGTGGAGAAGGTTTGAGGAAGAGACAAATTGAGGACATAGACATTACCTAAAGAGAGTCAAGTGAAAGAGATGTGAAGAGGAAAAGTCTTAGAAGTTTGCTTAGAGATGTATTCTATAAGCCGGCTTTGGATCCAACTCTAGCAGACAGGATTTTTTTTTTTAATTTATTTATCTTAATTATTCTTTATTATCATTGGTCTAATTTGTCTTCCATTTATTTGGGCTCTTGTGCTTTTCATCTGGCTTTCTTTAACCTGTTCTTGTATTTCTCTTTACATGTATAATGGGTCAATATATATATATATATATATATATATATATATATATATATATGAGTTTTATAAGAGTTATGTTGTAGGAAAAGTGATTATGTAATGTTATAGAGATTCATTTTGCGTGCCGTAATTTTCTTTTTTCTTCAAAAAGTGTGGGTCCTACAAAATGTTATGTGTGTAGGAAAGTTTGTTGTGTCATGTTAAATGACAAATGCAAACCCCTATATATATATATGTATGAATCAGGATCATTTTACACCAGTGTAAGTTACACTCTCAATCTTATCCGTTAATCCCACTTATATCTAAGGGCTCAAATCTTTTAGTAATATGAGTCATTGGATACAAGTGGATCAATGATCAAGATTGAGTGTAATAAGACTTCTAACTCTTACACCGATGTAAGAATATCCTGCCCCTATATATATATATATATATATATATATATATATATATATATATGAATTATTCTCAATGGTGAACTATATGCAAAAATTGGTTTAATTATTCTCTCTCTCTCTCCTTTTTTTAGGAAGGACCTGTCATTATATGTCTCACCACTTTATTAATTGAGTTTTGATAAGACTAATTCTTCTTTCTTAATCTATTAATATCTACCTCCACCTCCTGCCATTTCAAAAAAAAAAAAAAAAACACCAAAGATATATTTGGCCACTCCCTAATATGTGAAACACTTTAAGGAATGTATATATCAAAACAACCTAGTCATATACTGTTTATTCAATCTCCAGCAAGGAATATAAACACTTCTAAATCGATAGAAAGCAAATTGAACCAAATTGTCTTCATGACAACATGAATAAACAAAAAAAATGCTCGGTGGTTGAGAGTGTTAACAAAAAAAAATTGTATACATTGATAATCTGTTTAATATATATAGACAAGAATTCAAAATAGTAAGTAATTGTGCATTGCTATTAAGCATATGTTACATAATTTTTTCTTTCACTAATACATATAAATTTTTAAATTGATCTTTTAAAATAATGGTGTCACTATATTAGTTTTTAATTTTTTTATTAAATTAGTCTCTTATATATTTAAAATATTACATAATTAATTCTTATAAAAAAGGCTAACATATTGACACAAAAAGATAAATTTATAGCAACTGTTTTGTATTTTTGAGATAATAATATAATACAAAAAATCTTCAAAAGACCAATATAAAAATATTTTAATATTTAAAAAATTAATTTAAGAGTTTACTTTAATATATATTATTAGGGGAATAATTCATTTACATATTTTTTTTTACAAATTATACTAAGTATGACCGATCATACACTCTTAATTTAAGTATGACCGGTTAAACATAGTGTAATTTGTAAGAATTTATAAATAAAAAATTTATAAATATAACATTCCATTATTATATCCTTGTAACTTTTATATTTTGTAAGAGTATAGTTTGACTGCATCGATCATAGACTGTCGACTCATAACACATAAGGAGAGTAATTTTTAATATACTTGTTTTGAAATTTTATACAGAAACATGTATAAATTAAGGGTTTTATAAGAGTTATCTTGTAAGAAAAGTGATTGTGTAATGTTATAAAGATTTGTTTTGCGTGCCTTAATTTTCTTTTTTTTCTTTTTTCTTCAAAAAGTGTGGGTCCCACCAAATGTTATGTGTGTAGGAAAATTTGTTTTATCATGTTAAATAACAAATACAAATCCCATAAATTAATCACGGTATAATTAACAAAGTAGGCGACCCTATTTTTTTTTTTTTTGGAAACTGCGACCCTATCTTTTTTGAACAAAGCAAAATGTATCCATCAGAGTCACAGCCCCGAAATGCTCCAAAAGGATTACATGGAAAGGCTCTCCTGACTGAGCAAGAAGAAAATTAAACTCTAGGAACTTTTACATGTCAGTACCGCACATTAATCAAATTTTTATTTTTATTTTTTTGGCCTGTTCAGGGACCAAATCAAATTTCCCTAGGTACGATGACACTGCATGACTCTGCTCATTGAGGTGACACTTGACTTACTTTGATCTCTAAGGACCTAACATGACTCATATTCGAAAATTACAGAAAATTATATGCTTTGTGGAAGAACTTCACCCACTTTGAATAGTAATATTTGCGAGGAAACATGCAGGAACCTTCCTACGAACATATAAGTGAAAGTGGAAGAGAACATGCCATTTGTAGATCGTACTTGTCCTTGAGTTTAAACTTAGAACCAAAATTTGCTAGTGACAGCACATCAGATGCCATCACAATCAACATCATACTGCATGCCTGGTCTACAATGTTTTTTTGGGCTACACTTTGGAATTGATTAGTTGGTAGTAGTCCCGCTTGCTGCTGTTCATTACAAACAAAAGCATAGCAGAGTTGTTCTGTAATTTCAATTATATAATCCAATACTTTGTTATACAATAAGATCTCATATTTTAAGAAAAAATGTTTGTTTGACCTTATGTTGTCTCACTTTAGTCATCCTATGAGCTCAAGGGAAATCGAAATACATGGAGTGGTAGTGTTCTCTACTTATTAAAAAAAAAAAAAAAGTTTTAGTGTTAAACAACCTGTTTAACACACAAAAATGAAGTTATTAAGTGAATGCATCGGAGGTGATCATCTGAGTATAGGCTCAAATTTAACCAGATCGACCTTTGAAATCGGCCTACTGAACAAAGGTCATGTTTTGAGCACCAGCGTTTTTTGGACTTTCATTTTCATGGAATTTTTAATCACTTTCTATTTAATTTTTATCTTTTATTTTTGTGGGAACAGTTTCATAATTCCTGTTACTTGACTTTTCGTTATCTATTTAAGGATACTGTGAAGCCTGCTTTATTTGGTTAAATAAAAATATTATTGGGAGTTTCGACTACTTTAAATCATAGTTTTAGCAAATTTGCATATGTTTCGGCATTATGAATACATACGAATGATTTTATTTTTATATTATTTTTAACATACCCTTTGCATACTAGTTTATTGGGCTTGAATGATAAACAATGCACACACCCATCTATTAGTGTTATGAAATTGAAAAATAGAAGTATCATGTCGTAGGAAGATGACTATGTCATGCTATAGACACAATCAATATGGATCCCACCACTTTTAAATTGTGTCTATAGCATGACATAGTCATCTTCCTACAACATGATACTTCTATTTCCCAATGAAATTTCACACCATTACCGAAATCTTGGACCATTTAGTTATAAAGACTTTGATATTGTAAAGAACCAATTCAACCCAAAATCTTAAGGTATTGGGTGAGGTGAGGGCATTTTTATTGGTTTATATTATTTTCTAATACACTCTCTCACCCAAAAGCCCTTTGGGCTTGAGGCGTGGATATTACACAAGTTCAATTTTTGCTTATTTGAATTCCACTATAAAATGAGGGGCGGTGAGGATAGAACTCGTGATCTTATGGTCATTAAAGTTCTGATATCATGTAAAGAACTAGGATGAGAGTCTTTTTAATGATTTATATTATTATCTAAAACACCCCGTCACGCAAGAGCCATTTGAATTTGAAGCGTGGATATTATACAGACCCAAATTTTGGTTTACCTTGTGCTTATTTAATTCCACTAGAAAGTGAGGGCGGTGATGATCGAATTCGTGACTTTATGGTCACCGAAGCTCTGATACCATGTAAAGAACCAAATTCACAAAAAAGCTTAAGTTGTTGGATGAGGCTACATTAATGATTTTATATATATACCTCTAACACACCCTCTCACTAGAGAAAGTGTGGGCGGTAGGCACTGCTGTGAAACCCGGCCTGACCCGAAACCAGGTGAATCGATCATCGGATCGGTTCGGGTCAAGCATTGGACTGGTCATGCATTGGACCTAATCAAAACTCGGCCAAACCCGGACAAAATCGGTGACTCAGTCAGGTCATGGATTTTATAAAGAAAAAAAAATAAAAAAACCAAAATTGTTTCATCTTGTCAGAAAAAAATGTAGAACTCATTTTAATTTTTTTTGTAATTTTATTTGCTAGGATACTCTTCTATAATGATCTCAAATTTCAGTTTCCAATATTGAAGCAATTTGCTGAACAATAATTAAGAGAATGTGACATATGTCATTTCAATGTGGATGAATTTGAAAAATATGAGTTCAATGTCATTGAAAAGTATGTTTATAGGGATTCTGAGTTGCAATTTAAATTGACATAATAATAGCGTGCAAAAGATAACTTTATCTTATGTGACAGGAGAAACGATAAATATTAGAAATATTCAAGCGTAAGTAGAAATGAAGTCTCAAGTTGGTTAAACATGAATCAAGTGAGGGCCATATACGTGCGAAAAACCCATAGACATATAGTCTTAAGGTTTTAGGTTGAAATGTAATATCGATTTATTTACTATGGTTTATCGTTTGATCCATTGATAAATGAATCCTTTGTAAAGAGTTTTGAACTCTCATGTACCATTCTCAATAATAAACCCGGGCAAATGATGGAGGAAGTATTTTTGGCATGTGCCATTTGATTTAGTGCGAAGTGAGGTATTACTGATTGGGAACATGGAATTATGGGTCTCACTTTCACTTATAACAACCCTAAGAAATTCAACGGGGGTCTACGTTTTTGTGTGTGTGTGG